GGCGCAGTGCTGGGGATCGCCTGCGCGTAGGCCGCCCGCTCCTGCTTGCGAAATGCGCCGCCGTCCCTTCCTGCCGATACGCGGCGGGAGGTGGCGGCGGCTTAGGCGGTCGCCGCGGTGCACGGACACCGCGCCTCGGCTGTTCGGTTCAGTTTAACGTTTGTGCGCTGAAACGACCCGTTAATTACCCTGAGCAGACGTTGCGCTTACAGAGCATCCACCGCGTAGCCCTCCTGTCAGCCTGGGCAGCGCTCCTGGGTGAGCTTCCGGGGAAGTTAATGCCCCTACTTCATCAACGGAGGTTTTGGGTTGTCAGTTCTTTTCCCAGTAGTACAGAAAGTCTCTGCGTCCTCCTTGGGACGGCTCGTGGCAGTGGATTATATATCTTTAAATGTTCTCCAGAAATTGTAGTCTCCGGACAAAGCTCTGTGGTCAATGTAGTGCTCTAATTCTGACGTGCGCTAATGATTTAGTGGTTTAGATGCTCTACGGGAGATCGAGGTGTCCGGAGTAAACTTGGAAACAGTGATTTAAGAGTGTGGCTTTTTCTAATTACACTTACAAAACTTGAGTCATTTACATCTGATAATTAACCACACCACTGCTGTGAAAAGTTGCTGAGCGTTAGCTGAAAACTCAGCTGTATGTCACAGGTCCATCTGAGAACAGAACAACTTTGTGTTGGAAGGAAACAACCCAAAGGGCTCAGGGACAACCTTGGAAAGCAAATAGATGGCTGTGATTAATGTCAGTGAGCTGATGCAACCAGGATTTATTGTAACAACTACAAAAAATGCATAGTTGTTTGTTGTGTTGTTATATTGGAGAACAAGAATTTTTGTGGATCAAGTAATTCTGTTTATCAGAGTGAGGTATGGCTTTCAAATAAATAGTTTTCAAGACAGTGGCTTGGCTAGCAGTAGTGATGTGGCAATGAAGCCAGATTAATGAAAGAAATCTGGAGGCAGGCAGTGGTATTATATTTTCATAGTTCTGTTAAATGCAAACAATGTAATAATAAAAGGAATTTAAGGTTCACTTTCTTTTTATGTTGAGAACTAGAATCCCAGTCAGGAAGAAAAGCAAAAGTGAAAGAAACAAAGCTGAGGCGCATTTTAGTGTCCAAATGCTGTATGTGAGGATGTTTTTGAAAAGAATTGCTTCTTGTGTCAAGGTTTGAGGCTGTGCAGAACATCTGAAAATTGACACAAGTGCTTCAGAGAGCATCGACAAGTGTCACAGGAATGCAGGCTTTTAAATTGTTGTGTTGTTGTCATATTTAATGTAACTACAGTCACGTTTCCAACAGGACACTCAGTGGAGAGAAGTAAAAACAACATCCTTGCCTTTGCTAATGTTTTTGACAATTGCATTTAGAATAGCTATTTGTGTAGTAAAGCAATACAAATACTTAGATGATAATTACTGTAAGGTAGATATAATTGGATAAATATATCTCCTCTTTTCTTTTCGTTGTGACTGGATCTGAGTTGCTCTGTAAGGACAGGAGACGTGTGAGTTTCAGGAGTCCAGACATGTGAGCAGCTACTTGTGCCTGTATTGCTGCTGTAGGCATACACGGAATTGCTATATACTGCTGTTGCTTAGCAGCCCACTCATGTACTCCCAGTAAGTTCCAGTAGAAGCCAAGGACTGGATGTTCCTACCTAACTATGAAAATCCATAGGTGGGCTGGGAGCAGGTCTGATGCCCCCCTACGCAATCAGATCGTGTACATAAAGCAGTAGTAGCCATTGATATTTGAAGAATATCAAGAAGATTGGAAAGGGTTTTATTTGTTTGTTTGGTTGGTTGGTTTACTGCATGGGTTTGCTCGTGTATCATTCACCTCATGTGAAGCTCTCCCAGGTCAGATCATCAGTCTATATGAGGTCAGGAGGGACAGAGTTGTTAACTTCTGAGAGTATGATCAGGTGGTTGGGGTATGCAGGTAAGAATGGGGAAGCTTGGATTCTGTTCTCTGATCCTCAGGAATGTTTTATCAAGTGGTGTTATGCAGAAAATCTGTCAGTGAGGTTATCATTCTAAAGGCAGCTGAATTTTGAGGGGGAAAAAAAAAAAAGTCAAAAAAGGCTTTACAGCTGCAGCAACAAAACATAGATAAAGCATTTTACAGACCAGCATTTGGGCTGTGAACATCAGCTTTGGGGTGCAGTTTAAGACACTATCACCTCTATGCTTAGCTGAGATATGTCTACTGGCTTTTGTTAGTAACCTCCAAATGTTATTCATGAATAGCTGTAAATTTAGCTCTGGGAGACAAGACCTCTAGAAGCTGGGTGCAGTGACTAAGCTCTTTTAAAAATATAATTGGGGGAGGAAGTAGAGGTAGTTATTTACACCTACCTCCTAGACAATAGCATACTTGTTAGGGGTGTGTGTGTGCATGTAGATCTATATATTTATCTGCCTTTAAACGTAGTGTATTGGAATTGAATAGGAAGTTCAGTTTATGCCCCTGAAATACATATTTGTGGACAGTTCAAATCACCTTTTCCTGAAATGAGGTATTGCAGCCATTAGTATCTCTCTGGACTGTGCTCTCCTGATACAGGTGCAAGGGCTGAGCAGCAAAATGAAGCTTTTCCATTGATTTCCTTTATAAGCACTCTTGAACTCAAGTATGGAAAATTTCCAGCAGCTTAAGTGTGCTAGAATTATAGGGGAGGGGGGGTTGTTTGTTTTTCTCTAGCATTTTCTCACTGTTTTAAAGGGTATAAACAGTCATTTATCTTGGGTCTGTTATTAAAATAGTTCATATGGTTTCTGCCATGGACCTCAAAGCCAGTCCTTCAGTTCTAACAGGTCTGGTTTTGTTATTTTGTCAGGAGACGAAGCCAGATAACCTCTCTCCCTTTAAGCTCTCTGTTGAATTGTGACCTGTGAGTGTGGGTGCAGAAAAACCACTTGTGTTGGCAGTTACTGTACAGGAGAGCTCTTGGATAGGCTGATAGCAGTGGTCAAAAGCATGGTTCTGCTTCATTATACATAAATTTCATGCTCTAAAGAATTTAGTCAATTATATTTTTCAAAGTGTAGTATTTAGATCTTCTGCAACTTTGGGTTATTTGAGTTTGTTCTTGATCCCAAACTTCTCCACGTACTGGCGAACTACCTCAGGATGTGGAGATTTATGTTTTTTCCTGAAGGAAATGCTTGCTTAAGCTGAATTTAGTAAGAAAAAATGTCCCACTGAGTTAGCCTTGAACCAATGAGATGCATTGTTTGTTGGGAACAGTGATGGTCTGTCTGCTGTCACTAAACAGAGCTGTGCAGGACTGCTGCAGCGGTGCTATTTCGAGACCAGCATAAACTCAATATCTCGTTCAGCAAAGGAAGCAAAGATTATGTGATCCTCTCTCCCTCTGCCAGCTAATAGCTTCTGGAGCTGACTTGTTTCAGCTAGGCTCGTTAGGGTGCATGTCTCAGCTGGCAGCAGAGCAGATGCTAATAAAAGTGCTGATAGAAGGGTTGCAGCTTAATTGCTAGAGAAGAAATCCCAGGAAAAGGGACCTTGAAGATGACCCAGAGGAGAAAGTAGGCTTTGGTTGTTCCATGGACCTTCAAACGGCATGTGTGGTTTAGCTAACCTTGGTACAGGTACTAGGACAGATCATAAACCACTCTTAGTTCTTGGCAATGTGCTTCACTACAAGCACAAATCAGGGCGAAACATTCACAGCAGCCTTTCTTACAGTTACATGGGTGTTGTAGTTTAGATGATGCTGCTGTTCAACAGCTTGTTGCCATAACTTGGTATATGTTGCACCAGTCCCGTGTCTAAATTCTAAACGGGGAGTTCACAGTAAGTGTAGAAGTAGGTCGTTCATAGGCAAATGGCAGCTTTCTCCTGCTGCACCTCGAGCTAACTGGCTGAGCCTGAATCAGTTATTTCCTGCCATTCACGTGCTGGAGCTGTGTGTGAGGGAGAACTGAGGTGGTCAAGCAAGTTCAGTTGGCTTGGGCCATAAGGGGAGCTCACGGCTGCCAAGGATACATTATCCTGCTGTCCAGGTAGCTTGTATGTACAGATTTCAAATACTGGCTTTTTTGAGCTATGCTATTAAAGACAGGCAACACTGTATAAGGCAGATTAACTCTGATCATCTTTCCTGTCCATCTACTGGTATTTTACCATTTCCGGCAAAACAGTATTGGTGTCTGCATTTTCACTATTCTAGGACAGTTCTTGGGCATTAAGTGATTTCATAAATTTAATTTGATTTTTTAAATCTCCTGAACAATTAGACGGATAAGAATGGTCAGCAAAGCAAGTTTTCTAATGCAAACCTTTTTTATTAAATATCTAGACTTAAAAATGTAACCTCTCTGTAAAGCCTGTAAAAGCACAGATAGGCTTGTCATATAGCCAGAGTGTGTTTGGAAACATTGTGTTTTCTGGAGTGTCTGCTGTTTGTGTTTTGGTGTGTGGGTTTTTTGGTTTGTTTTTCTTTGGTTTGTTTCCCTCCAGCAGTAATGGCCCTCTTCAGTGTTACATTTCTTTGAGGCTGAAATGGAACATAAAGACAGAATCCCAAAATCATGTAGGATGGAAGCAACCAGTTTGAGATCATCTAAGAGGCCAGAATGGGCTTTTGCAGTTGAGGTGTAATAAAGATTGCAAAATAAAGACTGTGTCAACTCTCTGGCTTATTAATCCATTTTTTTTTTACTCTCCCATTGTAAATGAATGGCTTTTTCCCCCCCCATTACAGATTGACTACACAGGAACAGAGCCTTCTAGTCCTTGCAACAAATGTTTAAATGTGTCCTGGGACAGCACACCTTGTACTTGCACCATCAATTTCACGCTGGAACATTCATTTGAGGTATGCTAGCTGATACGCAGACTGAAGCTAGAACAGCTTATAAGGTTGTTGTTTTTTTCATTACTGGTAGAAAAGCTGTATCACAAGTCTTAATTTTTTTTCCCTATTTTAAAGGGTTTTTTTCCTAGTTTTTCTATGAACCTGGGCCTGATTTGTGTGTGCGTTTTCAGTGGCAGGGACAAGATGTTTTTTAATGCCTCTTTGTCTGGAAATGTACAACCCTAATTGGAATGCTTGTGTTTTACACGTTTAGATTTACCATATGTGCCATATAGCTGGTGAGTAGATCAGCTATTCCTGCATGCTTTACTGAAACTCAGTTCAACAAGAATTTAAAATACCAGATAAGTGGTTTTTGAGAAACTGGAGGCAAATAACGGAGTCTTAGGGTGCTTAACAGTGGACAAGGGAGGTGTTTGGTTTAGTGCTGGTGAGTATCGTGCTGACAGTTTGTGGCATGTTGATACTGTTTGACTTGAGGGTGCCAGCTTATGCTAGGATGATACTCTGTGAAGAAAGGATTGAGGCTTCTACTTTATGCATGTTGCTGCAAAATAAACACTGAGTTTAAGAGGTTGAAATTCAAGGTTTGTGTGAATGAAAACCCCTCTTGCGCCACCCATTTTGCTTTTGTAGAGCAATGTGTTCATGTATTATGGACTTTCCAACTTCTATCAAAACCATCGTCGTTATGTGAAGTCTCGGGATGACAGCCAACTAAATGGAGATAACAGCTCACTACTGGTAGGTGTTCATGCTTGGGTATCAATAAGCAACTAACTTCTCACTGCTGCATTCAGTTAATAATGAGGTACGAGAATTTTTGCATAATGGAATACAACTATAAGGAATTTATTTTTTTGTTTACAGAAAATAACTAGAATACTGTAAAATTTCATGTCATTTCATTATAAGCAGTACTTCAGTCACTTCTCAAATTTTAATAGTTTTAAACTGTCTTGTTGCCTTCAGTCAGTAGTAGCTGTCTGTATGCATGCTGTCTGGAGTTTTTGTTTCCAGTATAAGATGATATTTGTTTACCTAGAATTTGGTTTGGGTATTGTAGATAAATGCATCCAGGTTTGTAGACTCTGGTTTCATATTGAACATCAGCCATATTGGAAAATATCAGTACTGTGTATTCTGTTCAAGGTTCTGTGTAGTGTTTAGGACCAGACTGCTCCTTTTCCAAATTTTTATGAGGAGTGGAAATACAGTTGAGTTTTTGCTCCAGCAAGAATGATTCTCCATTTTTACCTGTAAACTTTAAAAAAGGTGAGAGTTTCTGGAGGCTACATCTGATGACTGACACAAGGTTGGGGGGTTAGGTGTGTGTTTCTGCTTGCATTTTTGGCATGTTGTTTCAGGTTATGCTTGGTTTCTTATTACAATCTTAAGTATGCGTCAGTGTTACAGAAAATAAAAAAAACCCTCTTTTTTTCTAAAGGAAGACTTGAGCACTTCATGTTGGAAAACTGTTTCAATTAAAAGATAAAAGAAGTTCTAACAGCTTCTAAGAAAAGCCTTATTTTTAGTGTGAGCATGATGGGATTCTGACTTCATTTGTGTTTTATTTAGTTTTTATTCCTGTTTGTAAAAGAAAGATCAGTCATGCTAACTAGTATCGAATGCTGAAGTATCTGTAAGCAGCCTGACCCGTGAAGAGAGTATTTGGTGGTACACTCAAGATGAGCAGGTCACGGGGGTGCGGCAGCAGAAGCAGGGGGGTTGGCTGGGGTGGCAGAGTCTGACGCGCCCGCTTTCTCTCGCCGGCAGAACCCCAGCAAGGAGTGCGAGCCGTACCGCAGCAGCCAGGACAGGCCCATCGCGCCCTGCGGAGCCATCGCCAACAGCATGTTCAACGGTACGGCGCCCGCCCCCCGCCCGCCTCGGGCGCCTCCTCTGGCTTGTATCGCAAAGTGCTCTGAGCAAACACATCAGGGGCTTCTCTGTTTGAATTACCACATTTTCATTGTTCAACATAAAATAAGTATCTCATGTGGTACCGCTGCTGCTTTCTTCAAAATTGCCATGAGAATTTATTTAATCTGATGGCATCTGAAGGATGGAGATACCTGCTGTGAGAAGCTGTTACTGCTGTGGAGTAGAAATGTAGATATTCACATCTGGATAACATACTGCTGTCTATTACATACGTTGTTTCTTGCAGAACAGCTTGTGATTGTGGCAGGCAGGTAATAAATGCCTTGTCCAGCTTTTTGTTTTGTTACCTCCTGGAGGTAATTGTTCCACCGCCTATCAGGATCATCTGTCTAATGAAAGTTTCTGCAGATGGTTTTCTAATTTGATTTTCTATTTAGATACATTGGAATTATACCGCATTGATAATGGCACGAGGACTCCTATTACTTTGATTAAAAAAGGCATTGCATGGTGGACAGATAAAAACGTCAAGTTCAGGAATCCCACAGGAGATGGAAACAACTTAACTGCACTTTTCCAAGGTAAAAAAACAGATGTGAAACTTTAAGAAAACACTTCAAACACATTTTGATTACTGTTTTACCTCACTGATGTCTTACTGAATGTGCTAATTAAAAATATTGTGGTTCTCTGAAGAAAGGACTAGAAAGGTTGTATTAAAATAATGAAAGCTGCAAATTTCACATAAAAGTATTTACTTTTTCCTTTTTCTTTTAATTTATGATTTATTTCTTTTTCACCTTCAATACTGAGAACAGCCTCATATGTGCACTGATGTCATGCTTTAGCCACAGCTGGTAACTAAGCACCACACAGCTGCTCACTAACCATGCCCCCACCTGTGGGCTGGCAAGGAGAATCAGAAGGGTAAAAGTAAGAAAAGTCATGGGTTGAGATAAAGCCAATTTAATAATTAAAAAATAATTAAAAAAAAAATAAATTGAAAAACAGTTGATGCAGAAGAAAAGAATTGCTCACCACCAACCAAGTCCCCGAGCAATGGCAGCCCCTGCCCACCTGTGCCCACCCAGTTTTATTGCTGATCATGACATCCTATGGCCTGGGCTGTCCTGTTGGCCAGTTTGGGCCAGCTGTGCCAGCTGTGTGCCCTCCCAGCCTCTTGTGCACCCAATGCCTACTGCTCCCTGGCAGGGTGGTGTGAGAAGCAGAAAAGGCCTTGAGGCTGTGCAAGGCTGCTCAGCAATAAATAAAACATGGGTGTGTTACCAGCACTGGTTTTATTACAAATCCGAAACACAGCAGGATACAAGCTACCGTGAAGAAGTTTAACTCTTTCCTGACCAAAACCAGTACAACTGCTGTAATGCTTGGATTTAACTTGAAAATAAATCCTGCAGTTGTTTTATCAAACTCTTCATACAGAGCTTTCATTTAAATATTTCTACTGCTGGATTGTGTGAAATTTTTTTTTAAAACTTGATTTTTTTTTTTTAATAGAAGTGACTGTGTCTCTCACTTGTTACGTTAAATGCAGTTTGGCAAATCAAAGTTTTCTTTGCCTGCTGATGTCTGAAAATAATCCTCCTCAGGGCTCTAAGGGGTGTGTGTGTGTTTATGCAAGGTATACAGTAATTTCAGGTTTAACCTGCTGTGGGTTTCTTGCTTAGTCACAGCCAACTACACATTACCAGTGTGATGGTACCCTTGGAAAAGCCCAATACCCTTACCCTAACACAGTGTAGAATTGTATTTCCAATAAAATTAGCAAAAGCATGAGTATGGCATTGTCTAAAATATTGTACATCATTTTATTTGCTCACAGTCCAGGAAGTGGTAGTCAAGCTCTTAAGGTTAAAGTGAGCAGAGAAGTTACCATTATAATGGAGAACTATGTCACAAAGTAATGTTTTGAGACAAGACTTCGTGGCTATATAGATGTGCAGGGGAGACAAATTTGTTTAAAAAAGTGCACAGTGCTCTTATGAGAACAAATGGATATGTGCTGCTATTCAAGCTGCAAAATAAGAAGTTCTTAAACAGCCCAGTGTCTTGCAATAGTACAGAGCCAACCTTTCTGTTCATAATATGTTTATTTTGTAGTATTGGAACAAATTTTGATGAGCCAATGTGTTTCTCAGTCCTGTGTTTGAAACGCTTTGTGGTCCTTATTTTTGTTTAACCCCAGGCACAACAAAACCTGTGAACTGGCCCAAGCCAGTGTACATGCTGGACTCGGAGCCCGACAACAACGGCTTCATCAACGAGGACTTCATCGTGTGGATGCGCACCGCCGCCCTGCCCACCTTCCGCAAGCTGTATCGCCTCATCGAGAGGAAGGATAGCTTGCAGCCTACCCTGCAGGCCGGGAAATACTCCCTGGATATTGCATACAGTATCCTTTGACAGTTGCTGAGAGCCTTGGCTGGATTACACACACGCACATATTTGTGCAGTTTCAAATTGAACTTGTCTTTTTTCTTACCGTCTCTAAAAAGGAAATGGTAGTGAACTGCGGTTGAAAACTGGTAGTGAGAATTGGGTAGAATGTTACCATCTTTTACTTTTGTGCCAGCTTTTTTACAGTTAGTAGCTTCATAGTGAGAAGGCAATCAGATTGCTCAGGTGCTGTAAGAGAACTGAGAGAAGCATAGGAAAAAGCACAGAGGTAGCTGGCAGCCTAGAAATTTGAGAACTTTTAGCTTCAAGGTGTAATGACGATATGTCAACAAGGTCAGAATGACTTAGGAGGTCAGAAAGATGCCACAGCTGTGGCTCAGGTGGAGGTCTGTCATTCTACTTTGGACAATATACTAAAGACTAGGTAGAAGTGCAGGAGACTCTAGAGGAGGAGGGTTGTCATAGTTACCAAATTCTTAAAATTCAAAGGCACTTAATAATAATTTTTTAAATAGCTACTGCAGGGTTTTCTTTTGCTGCAAAACTGTGGAGAGTGCATATCATATCAAACTGAATGAACATGAAGAATTCTGTACTAAAGCATATTCAAGAATTAAAATGTAGATTTCCCTTTTACTGAAGTTGCTCTCAAAATCCCACAAAACTGTACTTTTACTCTTCCCTTAAAAATGAGTTAACATTTCCCAACGTGGCATTTTTTCTTGGAGTAGCTGACAGTGGGCAGATGAGTCTTAGAGTAACAGAAAAGCTAAATGTTTCATAATTGCACTTCAGATATTCAAAGGCAGCAGTTTGTATTTGGAACCTGACTAAAATGACCCAAAATTTGAACATGCCTGACCACATAGAGCTAGACTGGGAAATGTGCTTGTTTCTTATTTTCCTAAATGTTTTTCAGATTATCCAGTACACAGTTTTGATGGACGAAAAAGAATGATCCTAAGCACCATCTCGTGGATGGGAGGCAAAAATCCCTTTCTGGGAATCGCTTACATCACTGTTGGGTCCATATGCTTCTTCCTGGGAGTCGTGTTGCTGATCATCCATCACAAATATGGCAATCGAAACACTAGTGCAGACATTCCCAATTAATCTTGCATTCTGAAAACAAATGTACTGCATGTGCATCAAGGCCAGTCCAGATTGGACCCAGTTTTTGAAAGATAAATCTCTGCTTCTGTCACTTCTGGGACTGGGTACATAATTTTTATCTAAAGCTCGCCTCTCCCATACTGTGGGTTGACTCTTGAAAATGACGGGTGTACAATTAGCTGCATTGATTGTATCTCTGCCTGTGTCAGAAACACTTTTTTTTTTCTGATATTAGCCTCTAACTGGGCAGGCCACATGATGCATGTAGCTCCTGTTCCCTTGATGCATCTGCTGCTTGTTCATGTGTCGTAGAATGTCGGTATGATTCAGTCCATAGAGATTTTGTGGAGAAAGACTGGTAAAAGATGCTGTAAATTGTTAACTTTCTGGAAGTCAAGCGTCAGTACTGTTGAAAGGAAAAGTCAAGTCTTAAGTGTTTTCTTTCAATTTACTGTCTTGTGTGCATGGGCTCTTACATTTCTTGCTGAGATTTTAATATATTTATAAAAGTTGTTAAATATTTTTCCTGTGTTCTACCCACTTCTGTATGTTCAATCCTTTAAGTGCTGTGTACATTTCGGCACTCTGGATTCTTTGTATATTTACAATATATGTGCCTGGCCAGTAAACTAGCATCCTATGAAGATACCAGAAAACCTATTTGTTAATTATCTGCGTGAGTCCCTTTTAACGATTGTTCTAAATGGGAACATGTTTGTTGCAAGTAGAATCTGCTTTTTTTTAAAAATTTTATTTGATTTAAGTCATATTCAATACTATTTACCTGTTGTGCTTGCTGGTTTTGCTTTTTATGAGCAGCTCCAAGCGTTAAGAAGAACCTAAAAGTGTTTTTTCCATACACAAATTTAGGCAAATGCCTTTTACTGGAGGAGTTTCCTGATTTTCCTGAGGCGTATGTATTCCAAGCAGGCTTTGCAGTAATGGAATAGTCATATACTTTTTCCTTATTTGGAGTGAGCACCACATGAGTTTTTTTTGCAGTGTTAAGATAGTAAACTATAGAAATTCAAAAGTTGAGATGGTGGTAGCCTCTCTTCACTGAAATGCAGGTTGAGCTTGCTGTGAAACCTGATTTAAATATTGCAGTTAGAAGCAATGTGCGGGTTAGTATCTTAAATCAAATTACAGAAGGGTTCACTTTTAGGTTTAATTAAAAGTTAACTGTAACCTGTAAAATATTACTTTTTGGTGACTTTTTTTTTTTTAGATGATTGACAGAAATTGTAATGTATATGGTGGAGATCACTTTATATGCAACTAGCTAGATAAAGCATTGAGTATATTAAAAAAGACCTAATAAATTCTGCAGACAATTTAATAAGAGATTCAATTTTGTTCTTGAACACGTGCATTTTCATCTGGATGGAAAGACAGATTCTCATTAGCTGTGAATGCAGCTTAAGTGAATTCTGTTTCTGGGATTGCGTATTTGTTACAAAGAGTTGTTTCATCATGGTCTGGTAGCTCAGACGATAGCCAGCTTTGAACAACACTACTAATTTATCACATAAACACATGACTGTTCTTGACTGAATTACTTGTGTAATCATTTTAAGCTAGCAGTTGAAGCCTGTCAGTCTGTATAACCTATGGAATGAAGCAGCGTTCCCAGTGTGCTGGCTTTCCCTAACTCCACATAATAGTTGTTTTCATAGCACAGTGCGGTAGCACAGGGCTTTTATACGGGCAAAAGGCTTTTAAGATTTTATTTACAGTGTTGTATCTGTGTTGCTGGAATTATAGTATAAGGGTATGCACTTTGAAGAATATATACTTTGAAGAATATATATACTTTGAAGAATGCAAGACTTGTCCTTTTTTTTTTATAGAAATCACCATGGGAAGAAAGGCCATGGCAGTCTAGGGCCAGGTAGCATCTACAGGCGGCGTTTGGACTGGATCCAAGGGAGGCATTACTGACTGCAGCTTTCTTTCAGGTGCCCTCCTCGCAGTAGGAAAACGAGGGTTACATTGCCTGTAAACAGGTGTCCAAGAGTGAGTTGAAGTGAGTATCTGGTGGAAGAAGGTGATTAACTCTAAAGCAGAATGTACCTATGCTTACTTAAAAAAAGTTACTGTACCAGTGGCGCTACACAAGTTTGTTTTGTATAAAAGTTTTATATTTGTGTTACCTGGGGTTGGTCTGAACTAACTGGCTGAACTAACTAGCTACGATGAGTTAGAAATTAAGAGGGCAACAACGCAAAGGCCTTCAGGAAGGTCTGCAGTATCCGTCTTAAAATTAAGCCAAACCTCTGAGGGTTTTGTATTGACCTAGTCAGTGAGTTTAGAAACAGTCAAACAACACAACTTCCCAACATTTTTAATGTTACATTTGCAGAATACTTGCCTACTGAATAGCCTGCCAAAAATTCTCAAAGTAGGAAATAAAAAATGTGAATATCAAAGCAAATTTTATTCCTGCTTTCTTCTTAGCGATGTGGCCAGTTTATGGAAGAGGCTGCTTGTAGCAGTGTGCCAATGGATACTGAGGTAGAAAGCCCAGTTGCAAAAGGTTCTTTTTTAGTAGTAGTAGTAAATTTTCCTAGGATTAGCGGAAGTATTTTCATGTACGCTAACTAGCTTATGGAATCTGTTCTGATCGCCATATTGCCTTCTGTGCCTAAATGTAGAATCTAATCTTCCTTGAAACTTTCAATTAAGACTAAAGCACATTATGAAATGGCCTGATAAGAATTAGCAGGTCCTTGTACGACCTGAGTCTCAAATAAGAAGTTACCTTCCTCTAAGCTTCCCATTCCAAACATGCTCAGTCTGAAAGTAACGGTCCATTATTTGAGTTACACCAACTGCTGCTCAAAAGTCTGAATTGGAAAATTATCTTTCACATTTCCTGTTGGGAATAAAATAAAGAGGAATAAGAGTGTATGTCTATAATTAATGAAGCTCAAGAATTTTTTAAAAAAACAACCTATTTTTATATAATTGAAAAACAGTAGGTGGAATTCTTTCTCACTGGACCCTGATTACAGATAAAGTTGACATGAGAGAAACAATTCAAGCAAATTGAATGCCAGAGTTATCTACAAGTTTAACTGAATTTGTGCCTGAGGATTGCACTCAAATTTTGCAAAATAAAATGGTGAGATGTTTTATATAGCGTTAGAGGGCCAGGAATGTAATTAATGACTTCATTAATTCCTTTAGGAAAATGGGAAAGGTTGGACTGCGATATTGGAAGAAATTAAAATAAGATTGTTTCCAGGCTTGACTACTGAGGTCTGCAGTTAGATGGTTGAAGTTTAGTGTATGCTTTACAGTAGATGCTTCTAAGCTTCAGAACAAATCTTTGTTCTTTCTATCAGCAAGTGCTTTTAATGTAGTTTTAGTGTATTATACAGCTCAAAGTAACTTGGAAAATGATTATACTAAAAGTACCACGTTTTCTCTCTTCCTACACCATAGCTTTTAACTGGGCTAGTCAGTTATTTTGTTTGCAAGACAAAAATTAAAACAGTGGGCAGGCAAGGCTCAGGAGGAGGTTTTAACAAATGTCATTTTTCATCTGTCCTGCTGCACCAGGGGTTGGTTTCTGCTTCCACAGCTGGGTTGAATGTTAACTCAGTTGTTGTGTGATCTCTTTAGCAGGATTTACATACCCTTCTATTATTGGTTTAAGAGGCTAAACATTTTTTTGTGTGTATGATGAATGCTTATTAGCAGACCTGTTTTCATTCTGGCTTAAAAAAACCTGTTTAACAATGAGTTTTTCTTACATGCGAAAGTAGGAAGTTAGGAAGAAGCAGTCTGAGTTTCCTTCTAGTGAAATATCCTCACCCTGAGGTGCCCAGTTGCCATTTTTCTTTCCCTCGAGTTTTCATTTCTTCATAGATTACTCAACACTGACGACACCAGCTGTGCTTGCTCTCAGCAGTCGCCTTGTAGCTTTGATCGGTACGTAACCCACATGCCAAGCTTTAAGTGTGGCCTTGCTCTTGTAAAACATATTTTGACAGGCAACAGTGCTGAAGCTCAGATTCAGGCATATCAGGAAATGGTCCACACAGTAGAAATTAAGCAATAATAATTTTTCTGGGGGTTACGATCCCTTTATCGGTATCTAAATACAACCGAGTGTATAAAAATCAGATTACAAATATTAGATGTATGCGCTCATAAGACGAAAGATGGCAAGAGGAATGAATGAAAATCTATTTTGCAGTAGTAGTAATGTATTCCAAGTGTTACTCTAAGCATTTGAAAACTATTTGTTAAATAATGCATCCAACTTCCTCCTTTGTTACAACACATTTCTCCATGACAGTGCTTTCTAAATTATATTTTTAATAGTCTATTCAACTAAGATCATACCTATAAATACTATTTCATCTCTGTATTTTTAGTTTCTTTCGGGGGTCACTCATCAGACTGAGAAGTGCTGTCCTTTTGAGACAAAATCCTTATTTCCATCCTAGACTGAGCACTGACTATGTTTGACACACGTTACTTACTCATTGTGAGGTTTGGCACCTGTGCAAAAGCACTGTCATGCCAAAACCTGAGTGCTCTGCAGCTGCAGCAAGGCCAGGAGACAGTGTTCCTGACAGCGCTGTAGTTCAGAATAAGGCTGAAGCCCATGAAGATGCAATTAGGGGGCTAGATCTGCAATGCAGAAAAAGCACAGGCTGCTCAGAGCACTTTTTTGAAGGGCAAATAGATGCTTCCTTTAGAATCAAACAGCACGTCATAGAAACCTGGTATTACTTCACACTCTCTAATTATATATTGTGAAACATGAAGCTGAAGCTGTTTTGTTTTTTCTTTTTTTTTTTTTCACATGCAGAGTACTCAGTGTCCCTGTCACTAATGGGAGTTTGAAGGCAGAGGGCAGGTACATGTTTTAGTTTTTGGGTTATTTTTCTGCACAGGGGCTCAACAAGGGATGTCACATCCATTCCAAGGGTGTAAGGCCCATGGGCTGGGTCAGACCTGGGTTCTGCCTGGCTCAGAGTCATGCCACCAGTGACGGTCAAAGAGGATGTCAAGGGAGTCTGTATGAACAGAAACAGCCCATGGTGGTTCTGTCCCAGGACACACTTCTAGACCTCTGTAGATCTGAAACTTTTTGATAAAAGGGGATTTAAAAATCTATGTGTAGCAGCTGCAAGGGATGTTTCTTTCATGGGCTTGTTGAAGGACCCTTTGAAGGCAGGAAACCAGCAGGCAGCCACTGGATCCTGTGGCAATGAAGTTCCCCAGTTTGTGCTGCATGGTATGGAGAAATACCTCCTGTTTAGAACCTGCACCTACATGCCTCTGTTTACTGCCCTGTACTTGTTGCTGGAAGTGTTACCACTCCTTCCTCACCCTCCCCATCCCATTCTCTTGTGTTGTGGGCCTCAGAGGAGGACCACAAAGATGATCAGAGGGCTGGAACACCTCTGCTGTGAGCACAGGCTGAGAGCCATGGGGTTGTTCAGCCTGGAGAAGGCTTCAGGGAAACCTCATTGCAGCTTTCTAGCATCTGCAGGGCGCCTACAGGAAAGCTGGGGAAGCACTGTTGACAAGGATGAGGGGCAATGGTTTAAAAC